ATCTTTTTTTAAATTTACCTTTATTGTTGAAAGTATTACAGATGTCCCCCTTCCCCCCCATTGACCCCTCTCCCTCCTCCCACGGAGCAGCATCTTTTAAATATATTTTTAAAAATATATTCCTTTTCTATTCTCACAAACTGTTCAAGTGTCAAGGCTATAGGAAAGTTTTCTGGTTTTCAGCAAGTATTTATGCACCCATAAGCTAATCTGATATGTGACCTAAGACTAAAACGAAGGTGGGCATGAGGGTAAATAACTAAAAATGTTATATACCGTCACAAAGTAGAAATAATATCGCTGAAAGCATGAGGGAAGAAGGGCGAGGGAGAGAGAAAGTAAGATAAGCTGGCTGGTGGCTGTGCAGGCGCCTCTCGGCTGCAAATTCCCTCCTCGGGGCCTGCCCGGCGGAAGCAGATCCGCACCCGGCTCCCCGCCAGCTGGCGCGTGGCGGAGCTTCGTCGGTAGAGGGCGCAGAGGAGCCACGCAGAAGGGCGTTTTCCTTCCTCGTGGGCGCCACTGGACGGGACGGGCCCCTGCAGCGTGTCCCGTACCCGAGCGTCGCCAGCAGCCGCTCCAGTCAGTGCTCTTGGCCTCCCCAGCGCTAGGCTCCTGCAGTGCGTGGCAACCAGCAGTGCAGCGGGCGCCCCTGCGCCCCGAACTCCGCTGGGATGACTTCAGCTAGCCACCCCCACGCTGTTCGCCCTGACCCCGCCTTGCCTTTCCCTCAGAAGCCCAGTAAACACTGGGGCCTATGCTGTCCCCTGTCTTCCTTCTGCCTTCCAACCCGCCCCAGTGCTTCCCCACGTGGTCCTGAGACTAACCAGCAAGCTCTCGTCTGGCAGCGGGTGGCATAACCGAGTCGGTAGCACGCCCCGGGTTCTTCAAGCCTGCTGTTCTGGGAGACCGGCTCAGGGTAGGGCCAGTGATGCCCATGGCTCTGGTCCCATTACTTCTTTTGTAACCAAAAGAGCTATCACACTAGGAAGCAGAACTCCGGGGCAGCATGGAGGAGCTGGGATACTGCCCTGAAGATGTTGGCTGAGGCACTATGGTCAGAGAGGACAAAGCCATGCCCAGAAGCAGCAAATTCTGCCCCTTTCATAATGGAAGGGATCCTGTGTAGTCACCCTCAAACTGGGTGTCTGGCTGGTCTCCTGAGTTATATTCTGCTATTTTGGGAGCTCAGTTCTGGTCTCTCCTGGACATTAGACAGTAGTCAGATCAGCTTTGCTAAGGAGAAATTCAGCATGTTGAGCTCACCAGGCATCACTTGCATCCCTCACCCATGATGACTTTTTAAAAAAAATTTACTGACTTTAGAGAGAGAGAGAAACATGGATTTGTTGTTCCACTTATTTACGCATCATTGGTTGCTGCTTGTGTGTGCCCTGACTGGGGATCAAACTGCAACCTCCGAGCATTGGAACAACACTCTAACCAACTGAGCTACCCGGCCAGGGCCTCCCATGATGACATTTTTTGTGAGCCTGTTGGACAATGATAGACATGATTTGTAAAGGAAGGTGCTGCCTTCTACCTGCAGAAAGTGCTCTTTGGTGAACGTTCACAGAACAGTTAATATTACACTCTGGACCCATTCCTAGAAGCCTACTAATACCAGAAATGAAAGAGGGGTCATCACTACTGATCCCACGGACATTTAAAGGATAGTGGCCGGGCTGCCATCGCTCAGTGGTTGAACGTCAACCTATGAACCAGGAGGTCACGGTTCAATTCCCAGGCAGGGCACATTGAGCACACTGGGCTCAATTCCCAGTAGGGGCTGTGCAGGAGGCAGCCGATGGATGACTCTCATTGATGTTTCTATCTCTGTCTCCCTCTCCCTTCCTCTCTCTGAAATCAATAGAAACATATATATTTTTAAAAATCTTTTTTAAAAAGGATAATGAAATATTATGAACAACTCTATGACCATAGTCTGATAAATGAAATGGACAAATTCTTTGAATGACACAAAGTAAGGCATAGCTCGAACATATTTAGGGTTTGGTTCCAGACCACCACAATAAAACGAGTATTATAATAAAGTGAGTCAGACAAATGTTTTGGTTTCTCACTACCGGCTTTTACAAAAAAAGTTTTATTGAAACACAGCCATGCTCATTCATTTACATATCGTCTATGACTGTTTTTATGCTACGACAAAATTGAGCTATTGTGACAGAGCCTATGTGAGGTTTGCCAACCTCCGCTATGTAATAACCAGAAAGTAAAATGGAAAAAAGATCTAATTTGTAACAGAAACACAGTTTCTCTTTCTCAAAACATGCTGTTTCTGTTACAAACATCTAGGAATAAATTTGAAAATATGACATCTATTGTATATGAAGAAAATCTCTCAACTGTACAGATAGACATAAAAGAAGATGAAATTGGTATCTTATTCTTGATAGAAAACTAAAGCAGGACTCTCTCATTTGTCAATACCCTCCAGTCAAAGACCACCAGGAACACATTTGTAGTTGAACGAATGGGTTTATTACTCTTGCCCCCTGGGACAGCTCAATAAGTGGGTGTTAGGAAGGATTTATGGGATCCCTGCTTGTTAGGTGACTTGGGGGAGGGCTTAAGGAAGTGGGGCTTCTCTCTGGATTGTATGCTGTCGGGAAGTGGAAGTAGTTCTGTGATGGAATAATGTTAACAAATCTCAATTAGACTGAGGCTAAAGCTGTAATTGGTAAAGAAACAAGTCATGTATAATCCAAGATAGAGGGATGTTTAATCATTTTTGTGGCTTGGACAATGCTTGTGCCTTTGTCCATTTTCACATGATTACAGAGTGACCTTGTTTTTCTCTCGATCCCTCATGTCACAGAGTGACCTTGTCTGATAATCTTTGGAATTGTTCATGTTCAACAGAACACCAAGGCCAGCTCCAGATGTCTGGGGACGTTTTTCTCTTTCTCAAATCTATGAATTAAATGCAACTTTAATCTTAATCACCAGTTCGTATGTGTTTGTTTTATGAGAAAACTTGATACGTAAGTTGGGTATCTTTACAAATAAACATTAGAGAAGAGTTAAGAAACCAAAAAAGTATTGTGAAAACTAAAAGACATTAAAAAAGGTTGATAAATTTGACTACACAAAATAAAATTCGCCTGTGTAATAAAAAATCGAATATACACAGATTTGGAAAACAAACCACAGATTCGTATGAAATACCTTCAACTCATTTGAGGACGAGCTGATGTCCCTCATAAAATTTAAAAGAACCTCCCTACCAATCAACATAAAAGATTTACTTTTTGGAATCGTTTTAATTTTTTAAAGTAAAAATGTACCATTCTACACCTGGAACTAATATAATATTGTGTATCAGTAGAAAAAGATTTTAGTTAAAATAAAAAATACGCCATTGAAAAACGCTTCAAGACCAGATGGTTAGAAAGTCGCCCTGCTGCACTAAAGTTGCCACGGTTGTGTTTGATCCCTGGTCAGGGCACATACAAGAACCAACCAATGGATGCATAAATGGGTGGGGCAACAAGTCGATGCTTTTTCTCTCCCCCCCTAAAGTAAATAAATCAAACTTTAAAATTTCAAGAAAATAAAAAACTGGGACTTAAACACAGGGAGGTGGGGCTTGCAAAGGAGCCTCAAAGACGGACTACGCTTCCCAGGAGGCTCTGCGCCGGCGGTTCAGGGCGCCCCGGGAGGCTTCGCGCGCTTTTCGCGCTACTCGGGTCTCAGTCAGCGAGACACCGCAGCTGGGCAGAGGATGGAGAGCGGCGACGGCGACGGCGACGACGGGAAGAAGCACCGCATCCACCTGCGCCCCCTTACTCTGCGCAACGCCGCCCCTGTCACGCTGCACCTTCTGCCGTGTGAGGTCCGGGTGAGCCGGCCCGCCCCTGTGGGGCGCTTCTTCACCCCGGCCATCCGCCAGGGCCCCGACGGTGAG